AGCCGTCATTGTTGTTTGGCGGGTCCGGGCTGGGGATTCGAACCCGCCACCTTAGGTGTACGTGGCTGGCGCCCTAGCCGGTTGAGCTATAGGCGCCGAGCCCCATCTCCCACTTTTAAGAAAACTCTACTCTGTGCTCTTTACTCCTCCAGCTCCTCCCCATTTCTCTGTTCCTTTTTACAGCCAAATTCCTCAAGATCATGCGTCCTCAAACTACAGCCCATGGGCCACATGCGGCCTGCCTAAGACATTTATCCAGCCTGCTGGATATTTTTGCTGCCACTGCCTGTCCTGCTTAGCAGCCGACTCGTCCAGGGCCCACAGTCCAGCCCTCTAATGGTCTGAGGGACAGTGAACTGGCCCCCTATTTAAAAAGTTTGAGGACCCCTGCTCAAGATGGTCTGTACTTGCTCTTTTCAATTCTATTCCTCCCACTTTCTTCTCTTAATCTAGTCCCAAGGTGGCCCTTCTTTGCTCCATCCACCCTGGGTTGCTAAATTCAGTGGTTCTCACCTTATTTACCTGCAGCATTTGCTACACTGGACCATTCTCATGTCCATGGAACCCTTCACCTGGATTCCAGGGGCCACACTCCATGCTCCTCCTGCCGCTGGCCATTCCCTCTCAGTTTCTTTGCTTGTTCTTCCTTCTCTCCAGGGCACCTCAACGTCAAAGTGCCTTAAACCACAGTCCTTAGATTCCTTCCCTTCTCTGTCTACACTCACTCTAATCTCAAGGTTTTAAATACTGTTAATATGCTCCCACATTCCCAAATGCAGACCTCGAGCTGGGACGTCCCCCCACCCCCAACTTCACACCGCTCACTGCTTACTTCACATCTCCATCTGGCTGTCTAAAAGACATCTCAATTAAAACCACTTAAAAGTAATTTCTGCTCTCCCCCTAAAATGCTCCACTCAAACTCTTGCCCCATCTTAGTTTATGACAAGCTCATCTTCCAGTTACTTGGGCCCAAACCCCCCAGGTCACCTCCAGCTCCTGTCTATCTCACATCCCCAGGAAATCCTGTTAGCTCTGCTTTCAGAATAGACACAGGATCCAATGTCATGCCATTTCCACCATGACAGCCCTGTACCAGGCCACCATCACTTTTTCCCTGGATCACTGTTATTAAAATGTAACTCAGGCCAAGTTCTGATTCTGCATCATCGCTATTTTGTCCTCACATCCAAAGAAAAGAAAAGATCTGGATCATCTGGGCTCTTTTTAACGCATCTAGCACCTGCTGGATTCCTAATGTTACTACTGGTGCCACCTTTCCCCACTGGATTTTGGCAGTCACTGTCCCATTGCTGGTAGCAAATAAGTCCCAATGGACTAATATGTCAGCCACATACACCGGGGCTGGTGGTTCAAAGCCCACCCCAGCCTGCTAAACAAACAAACAAACAAGTAGCTGAGTGTTGTGGCAGGTGCCTGTAGTCCCAGCTACTTGGGAGGCTGAGGCAAGAGACTCACGTGAGCCCAAGAGTTTGAGGTTGCTGTGAGCTATGACGGTACCACACTCTACTGAGGGCGACAGAGTGAGACTCTGTCTCACCCCACCCCAAAAAAACTACAACAACAAAAAATGTCATTGCTGGGGGAGCCTTGATATATTTTGCTGGAAAAATCCTCAAACAAGACAGAATTTGTTCCCTAACTAACAGACTAATTACAGTCACTAGAGAAATAGCTCATCTGGGCAAAAACAATCAACCTAAGTTCAGGCCTTTTTTTTTTTTTTCTTAGGCAGAGTCTCATTCTGTCAACTTGGGTAGAGTGCCATGGCATCATAGCTCACAGCAAACTCAAACTCTTGGGCTCAAGTGATCCTCCTGTCTCAGCCTCCTGAGTAACTAGGACTACAGGCACCTACCATAATGCCAGACTAATTTTTTTATTTTTAGTAGAGACTGGGTCTCCCTCATGCTCCTGGTCTTGAACTTCTGAGCTCAAGGGATCCTCCTGCCTCGGCCTCCCAGAGTGCTAGGATTAGAAAGGTGAGCCACTGTGCCTGGCCTGTCCAATCGTATTTCTTTCTTTTTCTTTTTTTATTTTTGAGACAGAGCCTCAAGCTGTCCCCCTGGGTAGAGTGCCGTGGCATTACAGCTCACAGCAACCTCCAACTCCTGGGCTCAAGCGAGTCTCCTGCCTCCGCCTCCCAAGTAGCTGGGACCACAGGCGCCCGCCATAACGCCTGGCTATTTTTTGGTTGCAGCCATCATTGTTGTTTGGCGGGTCCAGGCTGGGGATTCAAACCTGCCACCTTAGGTGTATGTGGCTGGCGCCTTAGCCGGTTGAGCTATAGGCGCCGAGCCTGTCCAATTGTATTTCTATGTGGCTCTCCATACTTTGTTAACCATAACCATAAGAATGGACAGATTCCCCTGTATCTTTGGGTCTTTATTCTGAAGCCTTCTATGTACATGTTAATAAAATTTATATGCCTTTTCTCCCATTAATCTGCCTTTTGTGAGCTGATTTTTCAGCATCTTTAGAGGGTGAAGGAGAAGCTTTTCCTTGGCCCTGACACTAGCCTGGATCCCCTTCTCATGGATCTCATCTACGTGAGAAAGTACCTCATACGTGGTGTTTAAGCCACTGTTGTTTGAGTTTTCTTTTACTTCTAGACAAACCTCATGTGAACCTATTATAGCCCTGTGTTTGACCAAGGTTCCTCCCTGGATACTTATTGCAGGTCTGATCACTGCAGACCCCCAGTGAGCATCCAGAGACCCCAGTAGAAGAGACTTCCCTGTGGTATCTCTGAAGGTGGAAATAGGGCATCCAGGGGTCCACTGAGCATCTAGACATCGTGAATTCCAGAGGAGTGGGAAGGCAACCAAGTTCGCTAAGAATCTACCTAACCTTGCTGGTTACTGCTCTGTAATGACATAGGAGCTCATGCCAGAATGCAAGCAGCCTGTCCCAGTGGGCACACCGCTCCCTTTAGCTGACTCCCCCCCCGCCCCCCCCCAAAGATATTCTCCATGAAGGAAGCAACGGAGTGATGTCCCTTCTGGCACAACATCCTTTCCTGGCGCCAGACAGCACTTTGCATAGCACTGCTTTAGAATATAGTTGCTCTGCTTTAGGTGGAGCTTTAGGTGACATATACAGTTGGTCTCATCCCAAACCAAGAGAATCAGAATCTCTGAGGAGGGGGCTCAGAGCTGATTAAGGAATACCCCTGGTGGGAAATCACTATTTAGATGCAACAGGAGGGTGGAGGAGATAGTACTATCTTTTCAGGAACAAAGCAACGTGGCCTCCTCTACACACTTGCTTTAAACTTTAGCTGGTGCTGCTGGGCACAACAAATTTTTAATAGTGTCTTTCCTGGGCTCTTCTTTATCACCTACTGATTGATAAGGGTTGGCAAATTATCTTGGGTAAAATTTATCCTTGGTGACCTTTGATAATATTCTTTCTGTTGGCCTTTGTTCATATTGCAGTTTGTCCTAAAGCTTTCAGTTCTTGCTGGATTTATTCTCTCATGAAATACAAACCCAGCTTTCTTTAAAGCCAACACAAAAGAGGAAAAAGCTCTTCCTGCCTCCCTCCATGACAGAGCCCCAGCACTGTCCCTGATGTCATCAGCTACCTGGTGGCACCAGAGGTTTGTTGCCTACAGAAACAGGCCAGTGGTTCCAAGATACTGACATCTTCTGTGTCTGATTCCAAGGAGATGGAACCCACACCACTGCCACCTACCTGCTGTCCCCAGGCTCAGCAGCACAGCCACCCAGAGGACCCAGAAGAAAATGAGGATGGCAAATGTCCACAGTGGCTGGAACAGCAGGAAAGGAGAACTGCTGATAGCTTTATTTGTGACTCGGAAAAGCTCGACTGTCAATTTTATTCTCTTTCTGTGAACAAAAATCAAGACAAGCAGGACTGCCTGGGGAGAGAGGGGTCAGAGCAAGTTATTTCAAGATAATGCAGACCCGGGCAGAGCTTAAAACAATGTTCTTTTCCTGACATCTTAGCAAACAGCCCTTTAAAGACAGTGACTTACTACTTCTGTCATAATTGAACAGGTAATTTCCCAAACACTACTTGAGCACCTACTGTGTGCTGGCCCCGTGTAAGATCTCACAGATACACCAGTGAACAAAACACAGTCCCTCCCCAGGGGACCTTGCAGTATGGTCAGAAAGCAAGAGAAAATGAGAAAAAGGTCCTGTCGGGTCAGGGAGATGCCTTGGGTTCCACGTCCCCACTCACAGAGCCCAAGGCACTCAGGGCCCCAGAACCGCGTGAGAGCAAGGGAGTGCGGGGATGAGGCAAAAAGACAGTGATTGTGTGCCTTCCCCTCTACTGGCTTTCCCCTTCCTACATATAAATATCTACAAATCTCACTCATTAAGGAAACAAACCCTGCACCCCCACTCTGCCTCTGCCGTCTCTCTCCCTCTTTTCACAGCCAAGTTTCTGGGCTTGTCTCCATTCACCATCTATACTTTGGACCCTACCCACCCATTCTTGCTTTTTTTTTCTCTCATAATTTCTCTTTTTTTAAATTTAACTTTTATTTATTTATTTCTGAGACAGAGTCTCACTCTGTCGCCCGAGGTAGAACGCCATGGTGTCATAGCTCACAGCAACCTCAAACTCTTGGGCTCCAGTAATCTTTTTGCCTCAGCCTCCCAAATAGGCACCCACCACAGTGCCCGGCTTGTTTTAAGTAGAGATGGGGTCTCTTTTTTAAATTTTAGATTGATATGAGGGTATAAATGTTTAGGTTACCCACCTCATTCTTGAACCACCCACCGACTACACTTTCCTGAAGCCGCCCTCCCTAAGGTCACTGCCTGTGACCTCCTGAGTGTTTAATCCCATGGAAACATTCCCGGTCTCGCTTGACCTCAGCGAGGCGTTCCAATCCCCTATCCTCTGGCTTCCATGTTCTTCCTTTCTTCTCCTACTTCTTCAGCTGTTGCTTGTTGGGATCCTTGGGGGTCTCGTCTACTCCTCTGTGGTTGACCATCCTTCCTAGATGCTGACGACATTCAGGTCAAAACCCCACAGCGCCCCCTTTCTCCAGGGGCTGGACGTGTAAGCACCTCAGTTCCTGACAAGGCTTAGGAGGGGCCAGAGTCTCCCACATTCTATCCTGCATCAAAGTCATTCTCCTCCTGGCACCCGTAGCACAATGGTTACAGCACCAGCCACATACCCTGAAGCTGGAGGGTTCCAACCCCGCCTGGGCCACCTAACCAACAATGACAACTGCATCAGAAAATAGCCAGGTGTTGTGGCGGATGCCTGTAGTCCCAGCTACTTGGAAGGCTGAGGCAAGAGAATCACTTAGGCCCAAGAGTTGGAGGTTGGAAGCTGCTGTGAGCTATGATGCCCCAGCACCTACTGAGGGCTACATAGTGAGACTTTGTCTCAAAAAAAAAAAAAAAAAGTAATTCTCTTCCTACTAAAGCCTCCTCTTTCCCTGCATTCTGTGTCTCCAGCGGCCCTATTTTTTCTTGACTCTCCAGGAGTGAGTTAGGGCCCTCTGTCATGTGCCTCCAGTTTATCCCACACTAACCCTATCATACTGTTTAGCAGGGTCTGTAAACATCTACTTGTCTGAGTTTCCCGTTATATTAAGCTCCCAGAGAGCAGGGCCATCTCTTCTCATCAGGGGCTGGCCAAGTACCCTGCAGTCCCAGTCACCTCTGATTCTGTGTATCCCCTCCTGTCTGCCCCCACTGCTGGTGCCACAGCTCAAGTCTCATTCTCTTCTAGACTCTCGTAACCACCTCCTTAGTTTTCTGCATTTTCTACTCCACCCTCACCTCAATCACTCTCCCACTCCATAGCTAAAGGGACCTTTGTAAAGGGCAAAACGAGGGTCCCTATTCCCCTACTCATAATCCACCCATGGCTCCCCAGTCTTCTTGATAAAGATCAAACTCATGGTCATCACAGATCAAGACTTTCCTGACATGACCCCCTCTCCGCACCCGTGGCTCAGGCTATCAGCACGGGGGCTTCCTGCAGGTCATTCTGTGGCCCCTATGGCCCTACACATGCTGTCCCCTTGGCCTGAGATGCCCTTTCTCTTCCAGTTGGACTGGGGCATTCTTGCCTGCAATGATCTCACAGTCAAGTGGAAGAGAGATGGCCAGAGGACAGTGGGGAAAGACGGCCAGAGGACAGTGGGGAAAGACGGCCAGAGGACAGTGGGGAAAGACGGCCAGAGGACAGTGGCAGAAACTGTGCAGAAGCCACCGAAGGAACTGGAAGCAAAGTCTCCTGGCGGTGCCTGGCAGGGGGCATCTGGAGAGGCCCAGGGAGACACCCAGAGGAGACCCCTTAATTGCAAAGCTGAGAACTCCCATCTGTTTTCTCATTGCCTCACAATCAATAAGGAAGAGGGGACTTTTCTTTTTCAATTTCACATTTTTATGGGGAAGAAGAGTTCCCAAATCATGGAAGCTCTAGTTGAAGATATTATGGACCTATAATGGACTTGCTTTTTATTTAAAATTGCAACAAAAGGAAGTGATAAAATCATCGGGCAAGCAAACTTGGCTCTTATCTGCTAAGTGGGGTGTTAACATATGTGTGCATTTAAATGGTTTGTGTTTTTACTACTATATGTGCATATAATACCCTCCTCCTGCTCAAAGTACACTACAGGGATGCTCAGAGGAAGTGATGAGTTAACTCTAATCCTTCCTGTTGCCTAATGGGACTGGTGTTCTGTGTGGCTGGGCTGGGCGGAGACCACGCCCACCTAGGGCGAGACTGGACTTTACTCTGCTGGGCTGGAAGCTTCTAAGCTTGAAGGAGCTGTGTTTCTCCCTGTCCTGGGCTGATACCCTAAGGTAAACGTTTGATGCCATTCACCCTCTGTTCCTCAGTGTTGCTAGCAATTCTACTGAAACTGCTTAAATGTTACATAATAATACTCACAGACGGCTTCCATATGCCTAGAACAATGGTCCCAAGTGTATTTGTTAGGTAGCTTCTGGGAATCAGGAAGCAGGAACACATTCCCACTCAAGTGGTCCAGCTAGTGGACAAGGGTCTCCCTGGGTGGGGCTTTTTGGGTCACCACTAGGCTACAACCATGACGGAAGTTTAACACAGGGGCTCTGAGGTGACCCTCCCTTTCTTCTCCTGCTAATGTTGGTTTTCCCCTTTCTTTCCCTTCTCTGGGCAGCCGGGGTGGGGAAAGGGGCGTGTGGAGGGGAAGAGGAGCAGTGGGTCACTTCTCTGTCCCTTAGAGACCAGTGCTGGGGCTGGGAGTGGTGCCTGCCTAGGGGACAGAGCTTGGCTTTCCCTATCCCTGACCCCCTGGCCCTCTTCATGCAGGCCCTGTGCAGGGGTCTGTGGGAGTGGCGGGGTGTGGAGCAGGGCGGGCTGCCGTGGCTTCCCTGGACATCGCTGCCCTCTCACCTCACAGCCTGCCTAGGTTCCCCAGACTCAGTTCCCCAGCTGACCAACTGAGGGCCACCTGCCAGCTCACACTAGGGGTGCCTCTCTGGGAAGTGCTGAACCTCATGGTGGATAGGCCCCAGGTCTTGGTGGTCCGCTGCTTAGTACAGAGGCCTGTGGACAGCAAGGGCTGCACATAAACGGTGATGCCGGCAAAGAACCGGGCTCTCCTGAGGAGGAGTGGCGCTGGCTCACCCAGCACCCAGCACCCAGCACCCAGCACTCTGCAGTAAGTCAGGCCCAACGCGGGCCGTGAGGGGCCCAGCTCGGCCTCTGCAGGAACCCCCTGTGGAGCTCGCAGACACAGATGAAAACGGGCTCTCTCTGCTCTCATGGCCTCCCTCTCCTCTGCCTCACCCGAGCCTGGGATGTGGGTGTCGGGAAAGGTTCAGTGTGTAATGACAAAGGGACCCTGCTGCTCCTACCCCCGCCTGGCTTGGGGAGCCTTTTCTTCTGCAGCCTCTCCCAGGCCCTGCCAGACGAGGCGAAACCGGCATGGTATGGTGCCCTTTCTCCCAGGCCCATTCTAGGTAGAGAATGCCCCCTGAAACTGTCCTGCAGAAAGAAGAAAATGGGGAAACTGCAGGATTCCTAAGGGGGGACTGAGGTGGGCACGTGGAAACCGCTGCTGCGGCGTCCCCCTACAGCGCTCCGCGAACACGACACCTGGCAGCGATGACCACAGGTTGCCCGGAATCAATTCTGGACTCTCCTAGCATGTCCCGACTCAGCATGCCTAAAGCCACCTTGGGAGTGACCTGTGTGACTTCTGGTTTTCAACCCTCCCCTAACACCCGGGATCTGTGGCCTCAGTGTTCTGACTTACCCTGTCCTCCACTCGGGAGTTCACTGAGGAGGCAGCAGGTTCTCTGGAAACCAAATCACCCAGTGGCCAGTGGGTGTGGAGACAAAGGGCTCTGTGTGCTCAGGGCCACTGGGAGCTGTGTGCCCCCGGAGAGGAGGGGTGCTGCTCCTCACTGGCAGGGCTGGGGACGGTCATAAGCCTACCCCTGCCCACCACAGTGTCACCTCATAGCCCTTGGGGCTGAAAAGAGTGACACAGCTAGGATAACAGACCAGTGTCTGGGAGATGGCAGAAAGGGCTTGGAAAGAACTAAGACATCTTTTTCTATTTTTTGAAGATTTTCATTTATGCCTGTACGGGTATCTCAATTCCAAAGAAAGCCTATTCAGAGGTGAAAGGCAAACAAGTTCTCGATTGGGGCTAGAATCCAGTGATTTGGAGTTCAGTGTTTGGGCTGGCGACTTGACCCTTGCTGGCAGGGTGTCTCTTACCGTGACAACCGTAGACACAATCGCAAACCCCAGCACGCACTTCATGTTTTCCCTTTCTGTGTCCAATTCAATGCTGAGGTCGTTGGTATAGTCATAATACAGCCACCATAAGACACCACAGACAACTAGAAAATAGAAGGGCGGTGGAGCTCAGCACATGTGTGTGCAGTGAGATGACCTCCCCTGGCTGCAGAACTGCATGGAGAAGTCCAGACCCTGCCAATCCACCGGGTAGCCCTGCTCAGGAAGTGGGGCCCAAACCCCAAGGGGGCTCCACAGCCAACTGCTGCCCTCTACAGGAGCTGGACAGCCAGGGCAGCTGCAGGGGTCCAGCAGTCCAGGGAGTGACCCCAGACACAGGTGTCCAGCCCCACAGCTTGGGTCTAGGTGTCAGCTGGAGGTAAGTTGCACAGAGATGGTGGCCAGGGGAATGACAGAGCCCAAGGCCTAAAGTTTTCAAGCAAGCTCTGCTGTTGACTTTCTTATGGGAGCCTGGATATGGCTTCTCACCTACAAAACCAGGCAGATGTACGTGGCCTGTGGGCATCACATAAGCCAGAGGCTCACTCTGAGGAGACCCTGTAAATACTCCGCATTTAGGCAGGAAAGACCACCTTATCTACAGTAACCACAGCAAAGTCACGGTTGTCTTTACTAATCGTAGATGGGGAAAACTGTCTCTCACCAGTCACTGTGCCTGTCCTCCAACAAAGGGCTACACAGCTCTAAGTTCATGAGGGCAGAGCTGATTAGTCAGAGGAATGAAACATATCAGTTATTAAGAATTAAAATGCAGTCATGCCCCACATTGTGATGTTTTGGTCAACAAGAGGCCATATACGTGATGGTAGCCCCGTAAGATTATAATACTGTGTTTTTACTGTACCTTTTCTATGTTTAGATGTGTTTAGACACACAAATACCACTGTGTTACAATTGCCTGCAGGATTCAGTACAGTAACAGGCTGCACAGGCGTGCAGCCAGGAGGAACAGGCTGTACCACGCAGCCTGTGCCATCTACATTTGGTGAGTGACTTCTGTGATGCTTGCACAATGTCAGAATCTCCTAACGTTGCATTTCTCAGAGTATCCCCGTCATCAAGTGACACATGGCTGTGTCCCCTACCAACTGGAAAACAGCTGCAGCCTTAGGCCTTCCTCCCCACATGCTCTTGCCCTTCTCATCCCCTTTCCCAACAACCCCAGTGGGACCCACAGTCCAGCAGCCAAAAGGGAAAAATGGGCACATCCAGGGTCTCCAGGACTCTGCTTCCACCCAGGCCTGTACCCTTTCAGGCTGATTAGAGCCTTTGCATGACAACTGTGGGAACCCACATGCCAATGGGTGAGGCACAAGTTCAGAAGAAATGCTTGGAAATGCTCCCAACAGGTGCTGGAATTCTCTTCTAATGTTATGGATACCAGGATCACTCAACGGGCAGCTCATCTCTGGGATGGCATAGGAGTGGAAGAAACCACAGTCCGGGCCTTAACTTCATTATTATCTGTGGAACACAAGCAACTGCCGTTGTCCTCATGGGCCTGAGTTTTCTCATATGTAAAAGGATGAGCCTGAATACTCTTAAAGACCCCATTTAGCTAAATCAATGCTGTTAAGCTCTCTACTTAAAGGAAAGGCTTTTCATTGAATCAAAAAGAAATCAAGTAGAAATACTTACACAACAATCCCAAAATAAGCAATGAAATGAAAATGTGAACCAGAAGGGTGGTGATGAATCGGAAGGTAAACATCACGGCCAAGGACAAGGCTGAAAAATCAAGCAAAACATATAAACCCAACAACCACAAAAGGTACAGGTGACAATGGTAGAACGCAGTGATCAAACCCTCCAGAAAACTGAGGACTGAGGATTTTATCTGATTAACTACCATGGGACCCCTACCAAGGACCACATGGGAATAACAAGACACACCAGGGCACTCTCTGAAGCACTTACAGGTTCAGTTAGCTACAGGAAGCCAGTCTTTGAAAGTGCTGGCATTCTTCTTAATGTAAAAAAAAATTTTAAACAGGGATATTATTTCCAAATCACCAAATCCTTTTTTACAAGTTCAAATGAATCATTAAAATTTTTTACCATACTTTAGTCTTTTGCCTTTATACTGGGCTTATGAAAAGTTCTAACCTGAAATGTTCTATAATGCTGTTATTAAGTATGAAAGATTAACCCTTTTACAAGAATTGTAACTATAAAGTAAGCTGTATATATAAAATACCGCATTTTATTTTCCACTATTTGGGGTTTTAGACTTAGGACTTTTTTCTAAATATTTTGGTGAATCTATGACTACTGTTTTTTTTATTTTTCTTCCTAAACAAGAAATCAGGACCTGGGGGTGCTGACTCACACTCATAATCCTAGCACTCTAGGAGGCTGAGGTAAGTATATTGCTTAAGCTCAGGAGTTTGAGACTAGCCTGAGCAAGAGCGAGACCCTATCTCTATTAAAACTAGAAAACCAAGCTGGGAGTTGTGGCGGGTGCCTATAGTCCCAGCTACTCTGGAGGCTAAGGCAAGAGGATTGCTTGAGCCCAAGAGTTTGAGGTTGTTGTAAGCTACTACAGTGCTATGGCACTCTACCCAGGGTGACAGAGTGAGACTATGTCTCAAAAAAGCAAAAATCAAATCAGGATTACAAATAGATATTTCAGTGTATTAGTTAACAACATGGTTTTGGGATCAGAGATCTGGGTTTGAGTCTAAGCTCTGTCACCCAGTGCCACCTGAGCCAAGTCCCTGAATCTCTCTAACCTTAGCTTCCTCTCCTACAGATGTGGTAGGATTCTGATGAGATTTTTTAATTTTTATTAAATCATAGCAGTGTACATTAATGCAGTCATGGGGCATAGTATGCTAGTTTTATTATTTTATTTTATTTGCAGTTTTGGCCGGGGCTGGGCTTAAACCCACCACCCCTGGTAAATGGGGCCAGCACCCTACTCCTTGAGCCACAGGTGCCGCCCCGTGTGCTGGTTTTATATACAATTTGAAATATTTTCATCAAACTGGTCAACATAGCCTTCATGGCATTTTCTTAGTTATTGTGTTAAGACATTTATATTCTACATTTAGAAAGATTCACGTGTACCCTTGTAAGATGAACCATAGGTGTGGTCCCACCAATCACCCTCCCTCCTCCCATCCTCCTCCTCAGATGAGATTTTTTTTTTTTTCTGCAGTTTTGGCCAGGGCGGGGTTTGAACCTGCCACCTTTGGCATATGGGGCCGGCGCCTTACTCCTTTGAGCCACAGGCGCTGCCTCTTCTGATGAGATTTTAATGACGCACTTCATGTTTTCCCTTTCTGTGTCCAATTCTATGCTGTATGGTAAGTGTATGGTAAATGATAGTTGCTAATACCATCAAGGGTCTAAAAAGCACATGGTGCTTGTGGGGCCATTCGGTCATTATATGTGACATCAGGGCTAACTTGAATTTTTTTCGTTTATATGGTCACTATGCCAGTATCTAGCAGTCAGAGCATCCTATTTGGGTCATTTGAAGCCATTCTCAGCCTAAACGAGAAGTCTGGAAGTAACATAATGGTGCCTAGTAAGCATCCCCAAGCATTTAGAAGTTAGTTACTTTTTTGGCCATGAAATTATAGAAAACTCAATTTATAAACTGGGAGAAATATGTTAATGGCTGACCAAAGAGTTTCTTTCAATGAAACTAGTTTCCCAGAGACTAGGAAATGCCACTGGGAAAGAGTAGGTAACAGGTTATTACTATTGTCTAAAGGCACAGGTGCATTAACAACCTGCCTAAAGAGAAAGCTGGCTCTTAGCGGGATGAGGCACGGCTAATAGGGAGCCAAAGGGTCAAGAGTGGGTAGCTGCTTCCAGAAAGGCCCAGAGAAGGTATGTCCTGGCTTAAGGCCTGACTGCCCACAACCCAAAGCAGGTGTATTCTTCTGAGGAGCTGGACACATCAGGCCATGGCAGCTTGCTTCTATTTAATGGGGGAGTACACACCTCCTTCCCTTTCGAGGCAGCCTTCTGTCTGGCTCACCTACCGGTAAAGGGCATGGCCAGAAGATGTGGTTTCTGGTCCCTCTGGCAGTTGTACTTTTCATGGACAATTCACCAGTTGCCACTATGCCATAGACATCCATCCCTTACACAGAGCTGAGGACCAGACTCTGCAACAGGGACGGTGAGCTAAGGCAACCCAGCCACCAGGCTTCTTGGCAGAGAGCCAGATGGTCTTCCCCAATTCTTATTGCCCCTCCTCCCCACAAACCTGAGACATTAGAAATGCCTATAAAGAAAATAAATATGAAGTTTCATAGTTAAATCAAGAAGCTAATTTTCATTGTACAACGTAATAAGTGCTAGAAACCTCAGCATTCTGTAAACAGTTGCTGACATCAAATTAACTGAGACTTACCTAATGCGAGGCCACACAGGCCGAGGACTGTATCTTTTCCTGACATTATTCCTCTTAGAATTCGATGGAGGGTGTCAGCATCATTTATCAAAACGGATGCAAATAGGGAATAGCACTCAGGTGTCTGAGGGATGCATCGGTTAAACAAGGGAAAAGACTTGCTAGAAATAAAAGAAGAAAATGTTTATTACCTTAAAAAAGATGTTTAGAATGCTCAACAACCAAGAAAGCACAAGATCTGCAGTAATAAAAAAAAAAGTTTAACATCTTGTTTGCAAAGTACATCTTAGAAAGTCGGGGAGCTGTGCTCTGCTATGGAATTATCCATACTGTGGATGGGAAATTGATTGTGGGGACCCACAGAGACCAAAACCCTAAACTTGGGGTGTAACATTTTGAAAAAATAAAACGTTGTATATATTAAAGGTATACAATGTGATGTTTTGATATCCATATATTGGGGAACAATTGGGGAACAATTACTATAGTCAAGTTAATTCACATGTCCGTTATTTTCCATAGTTATATTTTTATGGTGGCAACACTTAATAGCTATTCTCTCAGCAAACTTCAAATATACAGTATCATATTATCTCCTATAGTCATGCTGCTACATGTCTAGAGCTTATGTGTCCAACATAACTGAAATCTTTGACTAACGTTTCCCATTTCACTTACCCAACTCTCTCTCCCTTCCCAGGTAATCACTATTCTATTCTGTTTTCATGAATTTTACTTTTTTCTTTTTTGAGACAGAGTCTCAAGCTGTCCCCCTGAGTAGAGTGCCCTGGCATCACAGCTCACAGCAACCTCAAACTCTTAGGCTTAAGCGATTCTCTTGCCTCAGCCTTCCAAGTAGCTGGGACTACAGGCACCTGCCACAATGCCCAGCTATTTTTCGGTTGTAGTTGTCATTGTTGTTTGGTGGGCTGGCTGGATTCGAACTTGCCAGCTCCAGTGTATGTGGCTGGAGTGTTAGCCGCTTGAGCTAAAGGCGCCGAGCCAACAACCCTGAGTTTTGTTTTTTTTTTTGTTTTTTTTTTTGAGACAGAGCCTCAAGCTGTCCCCCTGGGTAGAGTGCCGTGGCATTAACAGCTCACAGCAACCTCCAACTCCCGGGCTCAAGCGAGTCTTCTGCCTCCGCCTCCCAAGTAGCTGGGACCACAGGCGCCCGCCACAACGCCCGGCTATTTTTTGGTTGCAGCCGTCATTGTTGTTTGGCGTGTCTGGGCTAGGGATTCGAACCCACCACCTTAGGTGTACGTGGCTGGCGCCTTAGCCAGTTGAGCTATAGGCGCTGAGCCACAACCCTGAGTTTTTAAAGAATGACTCATCTTAGCTCCGAGGGTGACACAGAGATGCATGTAAAATGTGGGTCTCCCATGAAGGGTGGCTGATCAGCTGCCCACTATTTAATTACCCTGGGCAAGGACACATTTTTAGGCCATGGCCTGAGTTTACCACTTCGGCTTTTCTTCTTACCACTAACAAAGACACTTGAGCTTGTAGAAGAGCTGCCTATACAGGTGGACATAAACTTCATGTGCAATTTAAAATAGTTCAACATAGAGGCCGAGGTGAGTGGATTGCTTGAGCTCACGAGATCAAGATCAGCTAGAGCAAGAGAGACCCTGTCTCTAAAAATAGCTGGGCATTGTGGCAGGCACCTATCGTCCTACCTGCTGGGGAGGCTGCCAAGAGTATGAGGTTGCTGTGAGCTATGACGCCACGGCAGTCTGCCCAGAATGACAAAGTGAGACTCTGTCTCAAAAAAAAAAAAGTTTAACACAGTAAATTGCACATGAACTTTCTGGGCACCCTACATATCTAGATAACCCTGTACGTGGAATTCATCTGAGCAGACCATGCAGTGACACCGAAGCGTGGGCACCACTGAGGGAGGCTGAAATTCCAATTTACTGAGGGGGAAAAACCTAAGCCTTTTATTTTTCAAGAGATTATTTATTTACTTATCTATTTATTTTAGGTTGACATATGGGTACAAATGATCGGGTTATATTGCTTTTGTTTGTTAGGTAAATTCCAAGTTGCAGTTGAGTCCCTCACCCAGGAGGTGTCCCGTATACCCGTACATTGTACCTGTGAGGTGCACGCACACCAACCCCCCTCACCTACCCAAGCCTTTTATATTTTAAATATACAAGAGACTCAAAATACAGTATTATGTTCAATGCCACAGTGAAAGAGATCTGTTTGTTATCTTCTGCAGTACTTGTTCACTGTTCTTAAAAGCTCATACCTAGGTACACAGGCTTCTTGATACTCAGCCACTGCTCTGAAAGGGTATGTTACCCCTCGCATGATTGACAGAGGAGAAGGAAACAATTGGCTCAGTCAAAAAGAGGTACTTAGAGAAGGTTCTTTGGCCCTATAGCCACACTTCTCATATTTTCCAGCTCTTCAGTCTTGGCACCGCTCCTCCATGATACGTACGATAACTTCCACCTGAAACAAGCACTTGCTTGTGTAGTTAAGGCAAGAGAGCCCTCAGAGATATCACTATCTCTCTCACTCCGTCCAGGGAAGGTTAGTCAGTCCACAGTTTTGTTTTTGCTGGAAAAGGTAGTATTGGAAATGTCTGCATTTAAGGGTAGTGTTGGCAATGTCTGCGTTTAAGGGTGGAAAGGACTAGGACCAGCTTGAGAGGCAGAGGAAATGGTGACCTTAGCACACACAGAGCAGGACATTTCCCCCAGATTGATGGGGGCCTAGGCAAAATAAAACCAGCCAAGCCTCAACCATTTGTTGTGGGTTATAGAAGCCAATGTGGACACTGCGTGAGTTGAAGGCCACCTTCTCCACGCGCTGGCTGCATTACCTTAACTTCCTCTGCATCCGTTTCCTCAGTTGTAAAATATGGATGAAAAGAATATCTACAACATAGAGGTTTTCTGAAGCTTAAATAAGTTAATAGACATGGAGAGCTTAGAACAGGACCTGCCAAGTAGCAAAAGCTCCACAAATGGCTTCCTATGGGATGACAGTTGCCATTCCATTTGTATAAGAGGAGAGTTTATCCAACTCTGGTTAAATTACAACCTTAAAGAGATTCTTCTCTCTCAATTCCATCTATAGATAGAGTTATGAATATAGTATTCTTAAAAAAATCGTTCTCTCCGAGTGTTAATTTTCTTTCTACCTATTATAACATTCTAGTTTTTTCTCCTGGGTTCAGCTCTGTTTCATGGAGACATGTTTATGAAATCTGAAAATAACCTGAATTTTTCTAAGATAGCAGAGAAAAATGGAATGGATACTCTCATCTACAAATAATCATTTCCTCCTCCAATTAATTACAACATGAAGTATTTATTTTAAAAAAGAATGTCAAGAGGCTGGCGGCTATTTTCTGCCTCATGGGCCATTAAAACCCACTCCAGTCTTTGTATGTAGAAGCACTTGCTAGTTTAAAGCTGCATTTGCAACTTGTTAGAAGACTATGAAATACATTATTTTTAAAACTTGAAATAGAATAGGAAGTATTTGTGTGAATCACATGTAGTAAGGGGAGATCTTGTTTTGTAAGATTTCGATTTCCGTTTTATGTAGATAAGCATATATGAAAGTATGTTGTATATTGGGGCTGGGATGTAATAAATTTCTTGCTGTGGGTCCCAAACAAGATTTTGATAAACGCTGTACTAGACAGTTGACATCCATGCCTTATTTTACTTACATTACCATTATTTATCAGGGATTCTGCACAGAGGAACACTGTAACCATACTTAACGCTTTTCAAAGGAATGGCACTGTAAAGCCAATTGGGGTCCTCCTTTAGTGTATCTCAGCATCCTGGCAGCATTAAACTGTATTTTCCCCTTAGCCATTTGCCATGGCAATGCGATCACAGCTACATCCTTGCAACTTTATTCTACAAGTATTTGTAAGGTGCCTACTATGTGCCAGGTACTCCACTAACTGATAGGGGTGAATGAGATCCTGCAAAGAGTTCACCAAGTATATTCTCAGTAAGGACAGGTGGCTTCTGTTTTCACTGAGAAGAAAGACGGCTACTTGGCCTTGTCCTTGTGGCCTGTTTCTCTCTATCTCTCTTTTTTTTTCTCTGTCTCACTCTGTCACCCTCAGTAGAGTGCTGTAGCATCATAGCTCACAGCAACCTCAAACTCTTGGGCTTAAGAGATTCTCCTGCCTCAGCCTTCCAAGCAGCCAGGACCACAGGCACCCACCACGATGCCTGGCTATCCCTTTGTTGCAGTTGTCATTGTTGTTTACCTGGCCCAGGCCGGGTTCGAACCAGCCAGCCTCGGTGCATGTGGCTGGCACCATCACTACTGTGCTACGGACACCAAGCCCATGTGGCCTGTTTCTTATGAAGAAATCAAGGGCCAGGCCCGGTGGCTCATGCCTGTAATCCCAGCACTCTGGGAGGCTGAGGTAGGTGGATTGCCTGAGCTCACGGGTTCAAGACCAGCCTGAGGAAGAGCGAGACCCCCATCTCTAAAAATAGCTGGGCATCATGGCAAAAGTACCTGTAGTCTCAGCTACTTGGGAGGCTGAGGCAAGAGAATTGCTTGAGCCCATGAGTTTGAGGTTGCTGTGAGATATCATGCCAGGACACTCTATTGAGGGCTACAAAGTGAGACTCTGTCTCCATATAAATAAATAAATAAATAGAAAGCTAGAACTATAAAAACTAACAAATTTGGTTGCAACAAAAAGGCAAAAGTAAATGATTTCTACTTTGTGGTTTAAAAAACTTGTTTTAGTTTAGTTTTTTTTTTTTTTTTTTTTTTGAGACAGTGTCTTAACTTTATTACCCAGGCTAAAAAGGCATGGCACCATCATAGCTCATAACAACCTCAAACTTTTGAGGTGAAGTGATCCTCTTGCCTCAGCCTCCTGAGTAGCTGGGACTACAGGTGTCCACCACAGTGCCCGGCTAGTTTTTTTATTTTTAGTAGAGATGGGGTCTCACTTTTGGCTCAGGCTAGTCTCCAACTTCTGAGGTCAAGCAATCCCCCTTGCACTGGTCTCCCAGAGTGCTAGGACTACAGGTATAAGCCACCTGAGCCATCTGCCTGTACAGTTTTTGTTTATTTACTTTTTTATTTAATTGACAGAGTCTCACTCTGTTCCCCAGGCTAGAGTGCAGTAACATAATCATAGCTACAGCCTCAATTGAACTCCTAAGCTCAAGTGATCCTCCTTCCTCGGCCTCTTGAGAAGATGGAATTATAGGTACCAGCCACCAGGCCCGGCTAATTTAAACTTTGTTATAAATTGTTGGCATAGAAAGAAATACGCATCAACTACTTTATAAAAACATCCCTTCGGTAATAATTTATATATTACTTTTCACTAGATCTAGTGTTGTTATTTGAAGACTAGGTATAGCTTTATTATTTGTTGAATTTTCACCTTAGCCTGATTGCTAATCCACTGTTAATATACATATTACAAATAGTCCCTGCTTATTTACCCATGGCCTTGTATAGATGTAAGCTCTATACTCTCTCAAATATCTCCTTTTTGCTTCCCATGAAGCCTAGAAGAGTAACAGGAACACATCAAGCACCCGATAAATTTTGCTGTTTGTTAAAGGAAAAGGAAGAACGCTTTTACCTGGGTGGAACTGGTAGCCTGGGACACAGTAAGTCTGCTTTGGGGCTCTGGGTGTAGTTGAAGGAATTCAAATTATAAACACACAGAAAGGATCCTGGAAGCAGAAAATACAGAAGTGTACCATCATCCCAGATGAGACAGTAGAGAAACCAGAGGCATTTTACCAAGCCAGAAAGGAGACGGAATAAATCACTCCCATTTACAAAGCAGCTCTAATGGGTGACAATCTGAGGGCCAGTGAGAGCTTCTCTTTCTTTCTATCTTATCAAACTCCCAATTCAAAACTAAGTTATATGATTGGTCCTCAAATGATTTCAAGGCTAGTTGAAGATGATTGATTATGAAACTTCGATATTTTTACCCTGGCTTTGCAAATAATTTCTTAAAATCTGGCAGATAAAGTTGGCAGTGGGTTGCCTCAAATTTCTTTTTGCTTTCCTTTATTTAAATCCTTAGACATCCATAGCAAAGCATTTCAGCTACACAAATGCTTTGGGTCCAATTTATTATCTCCCACTGATCAGTAAAAATATCCACTGGCTCCAACAAGGTCATAGCAGGACCTGCTCGTAGGCGATTCAACCCCAGGCTTGTAGTATCTCTCTAGCACTGGCTGTGCCCATGTGTGGAGAGCTCTCTGACCTGCTGTGACCCTGCCTTTGGGCCAGAATTGTGGGCTGTCTGCTCTCTGCTCTCTTTGGAAGGCCATTCCCCTGCAGTGGGGAGGGAGCGCAGGCGGAGCAGCTAGGGTTTCAGATAAATCCAGAGAGACCTGAATGAAATTGAACCAGCTCAATAGAAAACATGTAAGGCCTTTTCCACACAAGAGGCACCACAAGGAAGTCTACTCTCCGACATCCCAGAGAAAGCAGGGTCAGGATAAGTTATCTCATCTAGGTCTTTAGAGGTTACCCCACCATGGGGGAAGAGTAAATGGGTCCCTCCCTGCCTACCATTGGTGTGTGCAAAGCGCTGGACCTCTTCCAGGGTGTCGAGCTGCTCCTCAGGACAGCTGGACACGCAGAGGGCCGTGGGGCTGAGCCTCACTTCGTTGACTTCCAGGTGGCAGGAATTCAGAAAGAACACGTGTCTAGGGAGATAGGTGAAACAGAGCGATATCTCAGAGCTCTGTCCCTCATAGGGCCTAATAGTAGGCCTTGGAGCAAACCACCTGCTATCAAAGTCATGAGTTACTAAGGCAAACTTATCATCCAATGCCCCAGCATAATAGAGCATTTATTACGCCTATAAGGGGTCAGCTGTGAAGTGGGGCAGCTCGGAACCGTTTACAAATGAATTCTTTCTCCAGATTCAGCATTTTCTAGGGATAACACTAGGGACTTACCTGAGGAAGTCCCTGAGGAAGAGGAGGATGGATCGCTAGATCAGGAGAATGCACACACTACTCGACACAGCCACACCGGCATACTGTACTTCAAATGTACTTCAGGGAATAATTAAACACAGGGAAGCGAGAAGTGCAGAAGAGGGGGACGAGGTTGGGAAATAAAGGCTTGCCTCTCCCCAGTCCTCCCAGCTTGAGAGCCAGGACACCCAGGAGACCCTTCCTGCAGCTACCCAGCTGCTGGGTGGGCAGGCACGACACCAAAACTGGTGTGTTGCCATGTGGCAGTGGTGGCAGCCCTGGACCCTTGCCTAACCCTTATCCAGGCTCCTGAGCTCACAGGAACTGCTGAGAAAGAGCCCTGCAGGTTGCCCTCTGTGGGAAGGACCTTGAGAAAGGGGGCCAGAAGCTTCTTTTCCTTTCACTTGGGGAAAGGAGAAAGGGAAAGGATGCCACAGGAGATGGGAAGAGAGTTCTTGGGGGTGTGGGATAAATATTTTAATTTTTAAAATGTTTAAAAATTATGTTAAAATATACATAAAATTTGCCATCTTAACCATTTTTAGCGTACAGTTCAGTGGCACTAAGTACATTCACACTGCTGTGCTGTCACCACCACCATTCATCCAAAGAATGGTCCAAAACCGAAACCCTGTACCCCTTAAACAATAACTCCACGCTCCCCTCTCCCCAGCCCTCAGCAACTACTGTGAGCTTGACCACTGCAGGTAGCTCATGTAAGGGGCATCACACAAGGTTTGTTTCACTCACTCGTGAGTACAAAGTGCACTGCAGGTGCGGGTAGGCAGCTCCTTCTTCCTCCTGTCTTCTTTGCAAATGGCTCCCATGGGCGCAGGAGGAAACACCTCCCCAAAAGTTCATGCCCAGAAATGGCAAAGCCTCCAGGAGGAGCAACACACAGAAGGATAAGAGCCCCTGTGTAAGATTTGTATTTGGTGTCTCCAAACTTACACTTAGGGTCTATTTTCAGGGATGTCCAATCTTTTTTTTCTCTGCCACACGTTGGAAGAACGAGTTGTTTGGGGCCACCCATTGATACACAGACACTAATGAAAGCTGATGAGCAAAAATGAGGTCTGGGTGCTTTTTATGATATCTCACACCACAGATAAGCAAAAAAGTCCCCCCAAAGTCGGTTATGGCTGCAGGTTGGACACCCCCGATTTAGACCCCTGGGGTTTCTCTGTTGGAGCTGCTCTGATTATCATGTCTCAAATATTCTTTTTTTTTTTTTTTTTTTGGAGACAGAGCCTCAAGCTGTCCCCCTGGGTAGAGTGCCATGGCATTACAGCTCACAGCAACCTCCAACTCCTGGGCTCAAGCGAGTCTCCTGCCTCCGCCTCCCAAGTAGCTGGGACCACAGGCACCCGCCACAATGCCCGGCTATTTTTTGGTTGCAGCCGTCATTGTTGTTTGGCGGGTCCAGGCTGGGGATTCGAACCCGCCACCCTAGGTGTACGTGGCTGGCGCCTTAGCTGGTTGAGCCACAGGCGCCAAGCCATGTCTCAAATATTCTTACAAGGTACTCTTCATCTTAGAAATTATGGCCAGGGCTTTCTCTCCTTTCCAGGGGATTCTTATCTCTTTTCCATATTTTCCATTCCTTTCTGTTTCCATATTGGAGGTGGAAGGGGAGGGACGACCCCAGCATTCTGAGTAGGGATTCAGGTGTTTGTTTTGGAAACAAGGCTGTGAATAATGGCTCGCACACACACTGGTAACATGACTCTGACCAATTATGGATAATAACACCAACAGTTAACATTCATTACATCTTAGCTCATGCAGTGTTTCAGGAGATCCTTAAAACCACCTTGGGAGGTAAGTAAAATAGCCAGTTTAAAAAGATGAAAACTGAGCTCCCTGAGGTTAAGTCCTCTGCTCAAAATCACACAGCTGAAAAATAGCCGAGGCTGAATTTGAACTAAGGACTGATGATGCCAAAATCTGCACTCTTTCTACCTCTTTACGAGGTAGGCTGGGAGAGTTTTGAATGGGAAAACAGTTCCCAGGCTCTAAGTGACTAGATTATGCAAAATACAGCCTCTCTACGTTGGGGAATTACTTAGACACTTACTTTTTCAGGGTCATGTCCTGCCCTGACAGAGGGGCCCCTTCCACTGGGGAGTTCTTCTTGCCACACACGTTGCCAAAGCTGTCATAGCCAAAGAGGAGTCTTCCTGCGGCTCCAGCCACCACCGAGTAGCCCATGAGGAACACCTAGCAAAACCCAGGGGGCACGTGAGAGTCTGGCTGAAGGCTGAAAACAGCCCCCATCTGCCTGGGATGTTAACATAAGACGGAACCAGATCAAACGTGAATCTCTCCATTATCACTGCACGTCTCTCCCTCAGCACCAATGTCAACAACTCAAATCTATTAGGGTTCCGAGCTTCTAATACTGGTTTCAACAGCTTAGGTTGGGAGAGACTTCTAATCCATGGAACAGATTCCATTCCATTTTCTTCGCTCATTGGGCTTTTTACCCATTTAAGAGTCCGCTATTTTTCTTTTTAGTCTAACTTCAGTGAGTCAATTCGATCTCTCTCCTCTTGGTGTGTTGGTTTTTGCTTTATCTAAGTACACCAGGCCTATGTTCATCCTTTCATTGAGTTTTTTGCTTCTTTCTTTTCTTTTCTTTTGTCTTACTTTTAGGGGACTCTGTAGAGGCCACACAGTTGATATGTATCAAAATACTGGTTATAAGGCAGAACATCAATACTGGGTTTTGGAATAACTGCTTAGAACACAAAATAAAGAATCTCAGGAATTCTGTAGAACATGAACATCTTGTAATCTATCATTTTTATCCAATCTCATAGTGAATATGGAATATTTGAAATTTCAGTTCAAGCAACTATTCCATTAATATGCATTAACAGGCCTCCTGCCAAGATCTAGTATGTATCTTCCTATAATATAACACAAACTAGTGTTGTAAGTTTCCTGATACTGTATACAATACTTGGAATATTACTTAACCCTTTATATCACATACTCATTCCAGGAGAGAAGATACAGTAAGCCATTCAATTACACAATATTGATACCATGTTTTCTGAAGATACATTGTCTCAAAGTCAAATATATTTCAGATACTCTACATTCACTACTAATTTAGATGTAATAAACATTCTTTAAGTGTCATGTGTGCCACAGACTGTTAACTGGGGACACAGAGGGGAATAGAACCTAGTCCCTGCCCTCAAGGAACTTAGCCTGGAAGATAAGGAGGGAGGCCCTCCAATCCTCCCTGCCCCCACAAGTTTCTTCTAGGTCTATCTGTTCAGATCCTAGAATGAGTGGATCACCTCTGCTAATAGATGCTGTCACTTACCCTCTACCTAAAGGCTGTGGATACAGGTGTGACCCTGTGCCCACATGGCTGGCATGGCAATCTCACCCAGCCTTGACATGTCCACCTCTGGGCTTTCCAAGGTAGAATGTAGTAAGGTCCTGACCGGACTTATGGAGGGGACTGAGGTCATGTGCTTCTTCTCAGCTCACCAGCAGTCTAGTAACAAAGCAATCATTTCATTCACCATCATTCTTTGTGTGCTATCTCCTTGGAAAGCTTGTGGGTATGAATGAAAGTTTTTTGGGGAGGATGGGAGTAGCATATGGGTATTCCTGAGTCCCTGCCAGTAAAACTACTCTTAAACCATCTTTGTTCAAATTTCAAACACGCAATTGCAATTCCGTATGAGAGGTGATGCATAAAGTGTATATGTTAGTCTGGTGGGACCACCAAGGAGGCCCCTTGCCTGGCAAATGGAATCTTGAAAAGTGACTTGGAAAAGGCATCATGGGAAGGGATACTTGAGAGGTAAGTAGAGCAAAGAAGGTCCAGAGACTTTCTGCTCTATCTGTTTTATGCTAAGATAACATAGGCAGGCTGGTGCTCTTTCTAATTTTAAGAGACCATTCATTCCTGCTTGTAACTATGGTCTCTTCCCCTAAGCCTCCTTAGTCTGGGCCTAACTCAGGGCAGCACCATCAATAATAATCCTGTTTGGAGATCTGACACAGAGCAGGAAGTGGAACAGCAGAGGCAGAAAAAAAAGTCCTTGTGGTGCTTTAAGTGCAGGTGACTAAAGAATGTTGCAGAAGGTACCAAAAGCCACTCAGCTAAGAAAGGACTCTCATTATTAAAACAGAACATGCACACTGAAACCCTCAGATTTATTTTGCAGTTGAAAATGTGATTTTAAAGCAGTTTCCAGCTTTGTGCTACCTCTCAGCTGGTTCATAATTCTTCAGTCTGTAACAGGCCACCTTTAAGGCCCTCCCCGGACAGCTGTAGAGCTGAGAGTTGGTAGTGATATCCCAGGTCTGAGCCGTGGAGGGAAGATCATTAAATCACATTCTCAGCTTGAGGTCAAAGCTGCCAGATAGAAGGCAGGACAGCTGCATTTACACAACAGCAGACTCAGATAAAAACTCCAACCATCTGCAGAGAAGTTATAGGTGTGCTGTCTCTATCACTTCCTAGAGGAGAGTCCCAAAGGCCGAGATATGCAACAAAAAATTTTGCCTTTCAAGCCCAACCTGTAACCCCTTCTGACCACGTGAAACAAACAGGTAAAGTCAACAAGTGAACAAATGCCTTTCTTGCTTGGAAAGAAGAACAAACACTATATGCTAAGGTCTATTCAAATTGAATTCTTTTAAACAAAGGTAGTTATTACCAGGTTTTATAAATTAATCATTTACCATGCAGCAAATAGCATGCCTCGGCCTGGCATGGATACCATGAACATGGCCTTTGAAATAGTCGAGGGAGGTTTTTTTCTGCTGTTACCCACAACTCTAAAGTAAGTATAAAAGCATCAACAGTAAGGATAACAGCATTCAAGAGACTCTCCCAGGACTAAAATGGCTTAACTCGAGGAAGTTAACCTATCACAAATACCTGGAAACCAGAATGGGAAAAATCATTACTTGTGTAACCAAAGGGTTTTAATACCAAGGACTATTTCCTTATTAGCTGCTAACCACAACATACTGTCTCTCTCTCTGTGTGTGTCATGTTTAGCTAAAGGAAAAGTAATTTATTTCTAGGTTTATCCTGACCTTTCCTTTGTTAAAGGCACGGGAAAAGCTTCAGGAATATTTGATTTGGGGGTGTGGCAGATCTAAAAACTGCTGCTTAGTAAAGTAAGAGAAGACACCCTGAGCTTCTAAGTCGGGATCCCACTGCAAACTGCAGTTCGTGTTTCCCAGTGGAGTCATCCATTAGAAACATGGCCTGCAGCTATTATAAGACTGCCAGCCTCTCCAGCAAGGGGGGTGGGGGTTAGGAGATGCCTGATGAGAGTTCTTCTGAGGACTACCTGATGTTTATTCTGGCCAAATGACAGAAGTCTCTTATTGCAGCGCTAACTTTCAGCCAGTTAAGTTTGTGGCACAGTTATCTCCAGACCAGCCGCACACACATAAACACACACACAAACACACACCCTGCGGCCTCTTCCTGACCAAGCACTCACACTTACCAAGCCAGTCCAAAAGAGAAAGAACAGGAATAACCATGTCGTATCCGTGCATTTCCTATAAATCTGGGGTCGCCACTCTCTTTGCCTGGGGGTTCTCTCTGCAGAAACCTTCCAGAAAAATAATGGGAGAATTGAGAAAAAGATAACCAGGTAGATTCAACCTGGACGGCTCAAAGTAACAATCCCCTCCCCCCCGTTTGGTTTTTCTGTGGCCACCTGCAGCTCTTTCTCGCAGCCTTTGAAACACCTGTTGTGTGGGTTGGATGTTATGTTCCCAGCCACCAAGTCCTTCCCAGGAGGCCACCAGGAAGCCACCCCAAATTCGTGCCCCGCGGCCAGCGTCTTCCAGGCCTTCGACTCCGCACTGAAGCAGGGTTCAGGTTCTCCCAGCCAGGTCCCGGGGCGCCGGGCCCGGGCTGTGTCCCGGCGGGCAGGGAGCCGGGGACGTCCCAGCGTGGCAGGTGAGCGCAGGAGTGGGCCCGATCCTTCCTGGGACGCCCAGGCCCCGAAGGCCGAGGCTGCGGACACTTACCGGGCAGGTGGCGCCCAGGCACTGCATGGTGCGCTGGGCGGCGCGGGCCGGGGACCGGGAGACGCAGCGCCCGCGGCGGGCGAGCGCGGCCGGTGGCCGAGGAGGTGCTGGCAGGGCGCAGCGCCGCCCCGCGGCCTCGTCGCCACTTTTCCCGGCGGCCACGGGCCCTGCCACCCCTTGGGTCCGCCTTTGGCCGCGAAGTGTTTCTGCCCAGTTCGCCCTCCGGTCTACTGGTGTCGGTTCTGTTCCAAGCAAGAGGGGCCCACGCGGCGGCCGCGCCCGCGCCCGGGACGAGAGTTTCACCGACAGCCCTGCCAAGACCAGCTTGTGCTGGTTGGGGACCTGTCGTGTGGCAGGTGGGTCCCCACTGCCGCGACAGCAGGAAGTAGGACGTCTCAGCAAGTCCTGCGGGGTGGGGCACCAGGAACCATCTGGTGGGGTATTTATTATAATGTAGCCAACAGGTAAGTCGTATTTATTGCGTGCCTGATTCTGTTTTTGACAGCTCTATGCTCATTCTTAAATGATCACCAACCTAGCTATTATCCCTGATCAACAGAGTAGGGAAACTGAGGCAGCGGCCATGCAACTTGCCGGAGGATACACAGCTCGTAAGTTGTAGAGGCAGGAGTTGAACCTACACACTGAAGGTGGCTTCTGTGCAAACACGCCGTGTTTCGGGTTCAGCTTCGGTTTCTCCCAAAATGAGGCACACGGTTTCCAGGAACTAAAACAAGAACAGCGGGGAGGGGTGGGTTAGGCCTGTAATCACAGCGACTGGGGGGATCACTGGAGGCCAGGAGTTTGGACAACATCTCTACCAAAATTAAAAGGAGAGAGAAAATCAGCTGGGCGTGGCGCGTCTGTAGCCCCAGCGACTCCGGAGGCTGAGGCAGGAGGATCCCTTGAGCCCAGGAGTTCCAGGCCGCAGTGAACTATCACGATGCCACTGCACTCCCATCTGAGTGACACAGCAAGACCTTGTCTCTTAAACGAACAAACCAAATATACAGAACTAAAACCTCAGTTTTTGAGTGCTTTTTTTTTGTAAACATCTCTTTTTATTTTTTTTTTTTATTTTTTGTTGTTGCAGTTTGGCGAGGGCCAGGTTTGAACCCACCACCCTTGGTATATAGGACCGGCACCCTACTCACAGAGCCACAGGCACCACCCAGTTTTTGAGTGCTTAGGAGGCAGGTGGTAGGAAAGAGTTTCAGATTCTACCCTTGCCTTGGGACATTCACTGCCCGGCTTCACAGCTGACATAGTATCAACCACAGGTAGTGACCGGCGGGGGCGCCAGTGCAAAGGTGCTGCCGGGGTGAGGAATCCATAAAAACAACTGCAGACCGACCTTTCCTCCTCTGCCCTCTTTCCCCAATTTACGCCTCAACCGTGCCCCCTCCACATCCTCACAGCTGCTAGGTTGTGGCTTCTTTTCAGTTACGCTTCTCCGGAAAGGTAGAAACCTGACTGAGGAGTGATCTGGTAACACGCCGGACACTGACAGTGATCGCGCGGTTCTCAGACTTTCCTTTGGGCTCCAAACTCCCTGGGCTTCTTGGATGCGTGCTTATCAGACAGAGCAACTCAAGGGGAACACGGATTCAGGGACAAATAACTAGATACCTGTGGAGTATTACTGCGATAAAAAGGCCACAAATAAATAATATATGCCCTCTGGACTTAGAGCAGGTGGACCAAGATTTTTAAATAACCATGATAAATATATTTAAGGACATGGGGTATGATATTAACAATGTGATGGAAAAAGTATGAAACTAAAACAGATACAACATATGCAAATATAATTAGAATGAATGTTTCTGGATGCTATTTATTAATAATGTGGTATAAAAAGTAGAACAGATGCAGCCGAAGATGAAGTAGTGATTGGGAAAGCAGTTTCAGCAATTCTCCAGAGGCAGTGGGGAAATTAAAAAAGAAGAAGAAGAAGAAGAAGAAAAAGAAGAATTGGAAAGCCGAGCGCAGTGGCTCACTCCTGAAATCCTCGCACTCTGGGAGGCCAAGGCAGGAGGATCTCCTGAGCTCACCAGTTCAAGACCAATCTGAGCTAGAGTGAGACCCTCCTTAAAAAGAGCCAGGTGTTGTGGTGGGTGCCTGTTGTCCCTTCTACTCGGGAGGCTGAGGTAAAAGAATCACTTGAGCCCAAGAGTTTGAGGTTGCTGTGAGCTATGACATCACAGCACTTTACCAAGAGCAACAAAGTGAGACTGTCTCAAAAAAAAAAAAAAAAAGGCTTGTTTGTAAATTTTCTAAAACCAAAAGCAAAACTAGAACAAAAAGGGAGAAATATAAACATGGAGAAAACAAAATATTACAACGATAAATTCCAAAGTTGAAGGAAAGAAACCTCAGATTGAAACAGCTAATCTTAAGTAGAATATTTATATATGTATACTGCCTATAAATTAGAGCAATTACATTGAATTTGTGATTTTCTACTATGCCAGATTGTCATTAGGATGTGAGGATATAATAAAAAAAATTTTAATTAAATCATAGCTGTGGGCTCGGCGCCTGTGGCTCAAGCGGCTAAGGCACCAGCCACGTACACCTAAGGTGGCGGGTTCGAATCCCCAGCCCGGGCCCGCCAAACAACAATGATGGCTGCAACCAAAAAATGGCCAGGCATTGTGGCGGGCGCCTGTGGGCCCAGCTACTTGGGAGGTGGAGGCAGGAGACTCGCTTGAGCCCAGAAGTTGGAGGTTGCTGTGAGCATGATGCCATGGCACTCTACCCAGGGGGATAGCTTGAGGCTCCGTCTCAAAAAAAAAAAAAAAATCATAGCTGTGTACATTAATGCAATCGTGGGGTACAAAGTGCTAGTTTTATACACAATTTGAAATGTTTTCATCAAACTGGTTAACATAGCCTTCATAGCATTTTCTTAGTTATTGTGTTAAGACATTTATATTCTACACCTAGTAAATTTCACATGTACCCTTGTAAGATGCACCTTAAGTGTGGTACCACAAATTACCCTCCCTCCAGCCAGCCTCCCCCCTCCCCTCCCTCTCCCCTTTCCCCTTCTTCTTAGGCTACACTTGGGTTATAGCTTTCATATTGGTTTCATAGTAGGGCTGAATACATTGGATACTTTTTCTTCCATTCTTGAGATACTTTGCTGAGAAGAATATGTTCTAGCTCCATCCATGTAAACATAAAAGAGGTAAAGTCTCCATCTTTCTTTAAAGCTGCGTAATATTCCATGTTGTACATATACCACAATTTACTAATCCATTCATGGGACAGTGGGCACTTGGACTTCTTCTGTGACTTAGCAATTATGAATTGGGCTGCAATAAACATTCTGGTACAAATATCTTTATTATAATGTGATTTTTGGTCTTCTGGATATATACCTAGAAGAGGAATTGTAGGATCCAATGGTAGGTGTATTTTTAGATCCCTAAACGTTCTCCAAACATCTTTCCAAAAGGAATGTATTAATTTGCATTCTCACCAGCAATGTAGAAGTGTTCCCTTTTCTCCACATCCATGCCAACATCTCTGGTTTTGGGATTTTGTGATGTGGGCTAATCTTACTGGAGTTAGATGATTTCTCAAAGTAATTTTGATTTGCATTTCTCTGATGATTAAGGATGATGAGTATTTTTTCATATGTCTGTAGGCCATGTGTCTATCTTCAGAGAAGTTTCTCTTCAAGTCCCTTGCCCACTCTGAGATGGGATCACTTGTTCTTTTCTTGCTAATACATTTGAGTTCTCTGTGGATTCTGGTTATAAACATTTGCTAGGGACATAACCTACAAATATCTTCTCCTATTCTGAGGGCTGTCTGCTTGCTTTACTTACTGTGTTTTGGCTGTGCAGAAGTGTTTTAGTTTGATCAGGTCCCAGTAATGTATTTTTGGTGTTGCTTCAATTGCCTGGCGGGGGGGGGTCCTCCTCATAAAATAGTCACCCAGGCTGATTTCCTCAAGTGTTTCCCTTGCACTTTCTTCTAGTATTTTTATAGTTTCATGTCTTAAGTTTAAATCTTTAATCCAGTGAGAGTCTATCTTAGTTAATGGTGAAAGGTGTGGGTCCAGTTTCAGTCTTCTACAGGTCGCCAGGCAGTTCACCCAGCACCATTTACTAAATAGGGAATCTTTTCCCCACTGAATATTTTTAATTGGGTTGTCAAAGATCAAATAGCAGTAAGTAGCTGGGTTCATCTCTTGGTTCTCTATTCTGTTCCGTACATCTACCTCTCTGTTTTTATTCCAGTACCATGTGTTTTGATCACTATCAATTTATAGTATAGTTTGAGGTCTGGTAGCGTGATTCCTCCTGCTTTGTTTTTATTCCTGAGTAATGTCTTGGCTATTTGAGGTTTTTTTCTGATTCCATATAAAATGAAGTATTATTTTTTCAAGGTCTTTAAAGTCAACCTTTCTTGATCTTTCAAGATCAATCTTGACAGTGGAGTTTTAATAGGGATTGCATTAAAATTGTATGCTTTGGGTAGTATGGACATTTTAACAATGTTGATTCTTCCCAGCCATGAGCATGGCATATTTTTCTATTTGTTAACATCTTCAGCTATTTCTTTTCTTAGAGTTTCATAGTGCTCTTTATAGAGATCTTTCACATCCTTTGTTAGGTAAACTCCCAAATATTTCATCTTCTTTGGCACTACTGTGAACGGAATAGAGTCCTTAACTGTTTTTTCAGCTTGACTATTGTTGATATATATAAAGGCTACAGATTTATGAGTGTTGATTTTGTAATCTGAGACACTGCTGTATTCCTTGATCACTTCTAAGAGTTTTGCAGTAGAATCCCTGGTGTTTTCCAGATATACTATCATATCATTTGCCAAGAGTGAAAGTTTGTCCTCTTCTGACCCTATATGGATACACTTGATCACCTTTCTTCCCTAATTGCGATGGCTAAGACTTGCATTACAATGTTAAAAAGCAGTGGGGACAATGGACAACCTTGCCTGGTTCCTGATCTGAATGGAAATGATTTCAATTTAACTCCATTCAATACAATATTGGCTGTGGGTTTGCTGTAGATAGCCTCTATCAGTT